ATTATTTCTTAAACTCTATCAAATTAAATATTGACGAAAAGAGTACTGAGTAAATATGTTTGTTTTCTTAAAACAGACTAAAAGGAAAGCTCTCTGGACTATTATATTAATCGGGGACAAAATTATGTAGTTTGAATATAAAAATATTATTGTAAAAATAATATATTTAAATTTAAATAATTTTAAATATGTCACAAAAATTAAAATAAATAATCGAAAAAGTATAAAGTAGTATTTAAATTAACCCCACCCCCACTCCCTAATAGCCACCAGTCTCTCTTCCCACTGTTAAAAAGACAAAACAAACACTCTATTTCTGAAGAAAAACAAAAACATAATCATCATATTTTTCTGTTTTTTCTATTTAGATTTAGAAAAAAGCTTCAAACTTTTTAGTTATGGAGTCTATAACAGGGTTATCAATAAAAGGGGTTTGTTTAGATAAGGTTTTAGATAAACACAAAATTTTATCTTTGGGTAAAAAATCAGAAATTTGTTTTCTTGGATTGTCAAGTTTGAAGATTGTTCATATTACCTCATGTTCTGTTCAGCACAAAATTATTCAACCTATTTTTTGTGCTTCTGACACTCAGGTTTGTTTTATTTTTCTTTTATTGAATATTGTACTACTTATTTAGTTTCAATTTCATTTAGGGCTTGATTTGATTTATGTTGGCAAAAAAAAATAAAAATTGATTCTTGTTGATTTCTTTGTAGTTCACCTTTAATTAATTTGTTTGTTTCTATTCAAATTTTGAGTAGAAAGGTGTTGGCTTGCAATATAATGGAAAATGTTGTAGAGTTGAAATTGTTCACCTCGAAGTGAAGTTAATGGTAGCTCAGAATAAGATATAACTCCCCTCGATTTCGTTTCAATTTATGTGACACTATTTGACTAGCCACATAGTTTGGTGCTTTTATTTGTGATGATTCTTTACCAAAACATGATACTATAGTCACTCATGTGTTCTGCAGTGGCAGAGTCACTTTTTAATAAGGGATTCAAAATTTAAAAATAGACACATAAAGTAGTCTAAGGAGATTCGACATGTAGTATATATACCTAAGAAATATTTTAACCACATATAAATCATATAAGTTTCTGGCAAAAAGGGGTTCACGATGAACCCCCTAATTGCAAGGTGGTTCCACCTATGTTGCTCGGACTCTTCAATAATGTCAAAGGCTGCGTGTGTGGGATTTGGTGGAAGAAGTGTATTTTTGGAGAATCCGACACGGGTGCGGCATCGAAAGTGGAGTCCGTGCAGGGGGATCCACCACTGGTTCTGCTTATGTAGATAATATACTAATATTAAGATATAAAGTTGAATCTTTGGTGCATTTGTATTAATGGTATCTACACTAACTGGTTGAAAATTTATAATTGATATTTAACTTATAACTCATTCAGATACATAATCAGAGTGAAGAAACAGAAACAACTGATACAAGTAAGTCAATCCTACTGTGACATTGTCTTAGATGTAGGAGCTATTTTTATTGCAAAAAACTAAATCAACTTGATTCTGTTGTTTTCTTTCTAGATCAATACAAACCAGTTCGCGTAAAATTTCAATTGAATAAGGAATGTTCCTTTGGTCAGCATTTCTACTTAGTGGGCGATGATCCAATGCTCGGTTTATGGGATCCATCAAATGCAGTGCCACTTGAATGGTCAGAGGGACATGTATGGAACGTCGAGTTGGTAAGAACATGTTGTTGATTGATCTTTAAGTATGGATAATGTTGTAGTTAACTTAAGGATGTTCTAATTTTATGAACTTTTTTAGGATATACCGAGTGGAAAAACTATAAGCTACAAGTTCATTATGACAGTAGATGATGAGACTATCTTGTGGCAACAAGGCCCTGATCGAATTCTTCAAACATGGGAAACGAATAAAACGATCACAGTTTCTGAAGATTGGGACAATGCTGAGCTGCAGACAATTGTAGAAGAGGAACCTGCAGTTAGCCCAGAAATTTTAATAGCTGAGAATCTGGTTCCACCGTCAGTTGTAGCCATAGAAGATGGTGTAAATGAGGGAAAAACTAATGATGTTCTAGCTATAGTCGCGAAAAATATCACTGAAGTAAACGAGGATGTGAACACTAATCGAAATGAGGAGACCACAATGGAAGCAAAAGCTATTGGCAAGAATATGGAGGCCTCTATTGACGATGTGTTGAGCTCAAGAAATGAGTCCATTTTAGTGGAGGAAGAACAAGTTCCCGTCTTGGTTCCTGGCTTAACACACATTTTGACATCAGAGGCTCACGCTAACAAAGTTGTTGGCGAGAGTTCAGCTGGATCAAATAGTGAAGAGTGTAATCTGTTGTTGGATGAAGCTCACACGGAAAAAGTTGTTGTTGAGGGCTCAATTGGATTGAAATCGGAGGAGGAGTTCAGTGTAACAGAGGTAACTGCTTAACACCTCTTAAAAAGTCTGTTTCTTTATAAGCTTGGCAAGTGATGATGAGTCGATGACCCCTTACATATCAGTTATAAATGATAATTGTATGGAGGAAAGTGTCTCTAGTAAATGTAGTTCGATCCTCTCAGTTTGTCTTCTTAATAAATAAGCTTTCGTACAATGATATAGAGACATTTCACCAATTGATATCGAGTAACGAACAAATATTTCCATTCTCTAAATTCTTTCTCAAGAAAAACTGGGAATAGCACAATCTTTTAAATCACATTGTAACAATGGATGTTCTTGTAAAAGTTACACGCACAAACCAAAACGTGCAACCCCACTATGTCCACGAGATGAACATCTTAGGGTGATCCTTTTGTCAACAGATGCTCTTATTACACTCGTAATCCCTGAAGAATGAGAACCAACAATGTAACATCTACACCGAGAATTCAAGTATTGCATATGTCATTAGTCTGCTTTAACATGTATGCTTTAGGTTCCATTTATATACTTGGTGGAATCTTTCATATCTTAACTACTCAAAGGCCTTTTAAGGTTACTGATATGTTTGTCACTTTTAAATGTCCAGTTGAGTACAAAGGAAGAGTTAGCGACGGATACAACACATCCTCCAGAAAAGGTGAAGATTAATGGGAAGGAAGAAGTAAGAATAGGACATGAAGATATAGAAAAGTCTGAAATGGTTGAAGGAGGAGGAGATTGGTCTAATGGAAAGCCAATGAAAGAGAATGTGTTTGTAAGTGATATGCAAAGGGGTAAAAAGACACTATTGAAGTTCTTTGCAAGTTTGGGTTTCTGTAAAAGTAGAGCTTGAAGGATGAAAAATTAGCTCATAGAGAAGGAAAAAAACAAAAAGTTGTGTATATCAACTAATAATGAATGATGATCCTCTTTTGATCTTGAGGCTGTGTGTACTATATTTTGTTCCAAATACATAGTTCTACTCTCTTTCTGTTTCAATTTGTTTGGATTTTCTTTCGAATAGATCCTAAGGAAGGTTGAAACGTCAATAAATATTTATCATAGTAAATTTATTCAATAGTCTCCATTTTGATAGTATTTATCATACGTTTTTAATCTACCCTCGTGTAATTCGTGTTCAAGCATATAATAAGAAGTTGGATGCATGGTGTACGATTTAAAAGTGGACTTCCTATTCATTAGACAGAAAAGAATGAAATTTAAGAAAATAAAAAAGACTTTAAGTTTTATGATATTTAATAAAGACAAAGCGAGAAGAACAAGAAGAAATAGTATATGTTCTGACCTATAGGTAAATAAGATAATGTGTTCACAAATCTCAATGTTTTCTTGTTATTATCACTAGGAATTCTGCCCCCACCCATACGTAACGCCTACGCTGTTCCCATGGCCTTTTGCCCCACTATCTAACGAATTAATGATGTTTGCGCTTATCGAAAGTCAATTCGTATAATTTTTAAAAATAAATTAAATCATAATAATTTGATATTTTAAATAAAAAATTTAGATATTCTAAAATTATATAAAAAATAATATGAATTACAATTTTTTTATATTAATATAATAAAAAAATGCATCGTTAGGTAAAATTTTTAGGGATAATGCCCAAGTACCCCCTCAACCTATGCCCGAAATCTCAGAGACACACTTATTCTATACTAAGGTCCTATTACCCCCCTGAACTTATTTTATTAAAATTATTTTACCCCTTTTTAGCTTACGTGGCACTATCTTGTGGGCCCAACGATGATTGACTTTTTTTTCGAACTAGTGCCACATAGGCTAAAAAGGGATAGAAAATTACATATAAAATAAGTTCAGGAGGGTAATAGAACCTTAGTATATTATAAGTGTGTCTCTAGAATTTCGGACATAGATTAAGGGGGTACTTGAGTATTTTCTAAATTTTTATAGTTTGATTCTAAAAATAGAAATCATGACAAACAATACTGGACGGAACACATTTGAATTAATCAATCTGATAAAAAATAAATTAAAATGTGCTTATCTAAAACTAAAAAGAGGATTTGTCAAATAAAGAATTCATTTTGGAAATGTGCAAGAAGTATATTTGAGGCTTAATTTTGGTTTGGGAGTAAATTCGTATTTGCATATGCTATGTTTTTGACTTTTTTTAATTAAGTTATTAGTGAAAGATTACATAATTGAGAAAAAATGTTTAGGTGAGTCGTATGATTGTTACATAATTTAAATATTTTTATCATAATGTAAACAAATTCAACTTCTTATTCCATCAAATATATGTTGATACAAGCTGGTAAAAATGAGTTGCTAAAATTGTGATGGGAGTAGAATTACAAACTAAAAAAACCACCATTATACCTCCAAAATAAGAAGCATCAAGAATGGCCCAGATGAACAACTGGGCAAACAATTTTTCTGTCTGAGACATAATTACCTGCGTATAATCAAATATTAGTCTACAAATAATCTCTAGAATCACTTTATGCACCATTCTTTGAAGCACAAACTACTCTAAAACCTTATGCTGTTTGTCTAAATTCAGATGCCAAAATAATTATGCACTTCTATATGACAGGAGCAACAATCCCATATCAAAATGAACATTTTCAAAGATTGACATTAACAGACAGTTCATACAATTTTCAGAGTCAAATATCAAGACATATCCATGAATGTCAAAGTCATTAGCACACGACTTTCAGGTATCTCGTCAGCCATTACCTTGCACAGTACATCCTAGTATCCCGTTAGAATCAAAAGAGGAACACTATTACTATCAGTGGAAGCTAGTGCTGTTTAACGGAAATTTCTCTTCATATTTATACGACAAACAATGCAATTAATCAATCCCTGCAATAGCTTCGGATAGGTGAAAAACATTCTTCCATAATGAATTTTCTAACCTCAACTGAAAATTGCAATTCCTCACTGGTGCTCACCACAGGCCTGAGCTCAACCTACAAAACAAGACACATTGGTGGAGCTCTTACTATGACAACCAAGAAAAATCAACCGAGATAACATCTTGGCTAAAAAGTATGTAGCACATACCTTTGAGTTGCATCGCTGTCCAATTTCTCGCAGCACTCCAGTAGCTAAAGATGCAAGAAGTTCATTTTCCCAACTTCTAGTTGGAAGGGAAGAGTACACTGAAACCTTACAAGTGGTGACTCTTTTTATTCTTTAAAATGATCACTTATTAATCAAAAAAATATAAGTGCCGCTTTTCTCGCTTCACACTTCAATCCCAAAAGCGGGGCTGCTTCTGGTCACTTCATGATTTTCTCGCTGAAGCGCTGAACCCTTGCTTCGCTTCGCTTCATCGCTTAAAGCAATGAAGCGCTCGCTTTCCCGAACACCGCCAAACACTATCTTGATCATTAAAGATACACACATACCACCATCCTGGCAATCAACAAGTAATAGTATGCAATTCCAGCCTTCTTTACATGTTTGGATAAATTATATCCCACGCCATTATTAATAAATAAACACGCACCTAGTTGGATTTGTTATAATTTGATAGCTGGGGCTCATATTCACAAGCTGAAAACTAGCCCTTAGGAAAACATCAGTAGCAGCAGAGACTTCAGTCAAACTTAAATTGAGGCCAGAAGTTACTTACTGTGAACTATTTTCCTAAAGCATCCAGGCATAGTATATATGCAAACAGCAATTAACAATAATTGTTGAATGATTTATTACTGTAGTTCAATTATACAGTATCTATTAGGCAAATCATGTTGCAAGCTTACTTACAACAACTTACTATAGTTAGCTCTGTAAGAAAATGAATATACATAGGTTAACCAGTCAATCTAGAATGCTTTGAAGAGAGGCAATAACCCACCACCACACACAATGCTGATTTAATGAGCAGATTAATAAATATCAAGAAAAGTTGTCCTACATAACTAACATATAACAAGAAATTAAACAACAAGGATGGCCAATGGAGCATTACTACAAGTGTTTATGCTAGTTGACCGACATGCTTTGTTTCATTTAACATTTGGAAATAGCGCGCATCTCAACCTCCTAAGAAAATTTTCACAAACCAATTTACAACAACGCTGCAAGTTGGGGTCAGCGATGTAAATCCTCACGGAGCATGTTGCTCCATTTAAGCTCATCTTGGACCAGTATTGAACAAAAATACAAGTATTAGATTCTTTTTTTTTGAAACAGAATACAAATACTAGATTCTCACTATTTTCTCTCACTAAAAGATTCCTAGAAAAACATGGGACCTGAGGTAAATGTACTAACACGACAAAAAATAATGAGGTTACCAAACCCTAAAGATCTCCAAGCTTGCAGCCCAGCTGTTCTGCTTGGTATGCAATGTGACCTTCAAGAATATTACTGGCTTGGGATCATTCAACTCCATCAGCGAGTAACTTCTTTTCCTCTACAATTCTAACAAGAACTAATTGAAAAGGCCTTAGTCCTTGAACCTGCACAGTGGCATTATCAGCAGCTTGAAAGGGTACAATATTCTACAGTAGACTCTAGCAACCATATCAGTTTTAAGTGAAGTATGTTTTCATGAAGTGATATGGAATGTCCAGGTTGATGAAATATTAAGCTTGTAGTTCTAAAATAAGCTGAGCACCAGTATAGACAATTAATCCTCATTAACAACTATTAGATGTGGCATAAACAATGGCGGAGCCACAATTTTCACAGGGGGGTCAAAATATAAAGAAGTAAACATATGAAGAAGCGAAGGGGCTTTAACGAATAGTATGTATATATATAAAAAAAATGTACCTATCTACACGGTATAATTTCCAGTGAAGAAGTGTCAATCGACATCCCTTGGCCAAGTGTGGGGGATTCAACAAATAGTATACATACATACAAAAAAGTTACCTATCCACACAGTATAATTAACCAGTGGAGAGACGTCAATCGACATCCCTTGGCCAAGTGTGGCTCTGCCACTAAGCACAAAATATACAAAAATGAATCTAAGCTTTAATCACAACTTAAACAAAGCATTCCGAGGGAAGAACTCTAGCTCCATCTCCAACAATATCCAAAGTCACTGTTTGCTCCACACTTATGTGCCCCCTTATGTGATGGGACTGACGACAAGATTGGAGTACATAGGAACACTTCAAAAACGACCATAAATTGTGGAGTTATGGAAGTATGCATGTATGTTGGAGGTATGTCGCAACTCACAAATAAGACAAGAAGGTGTGATGCATAGGAGGGAAAACTTATAACTACTGCTATAGCTTATAAATAATGGTCTTACAGTTTTTAAAAGAAAAGGCCTGACAGTAATAGGATTATAAACAATTTCTTAATGCATTTGCAAGTGGATCATTAGGGTAGCTGTCTACATCACACCCTTTGGGATGTGGTCCGCGGGATGCTTTGTGCACCAGGCTGCCTCTTTTTTTAATTTGTAAGTGCATCGTAATAACTTTTTATGTTTGAGAGGTTCTCAAAATAAGCTGCTACAAATGAGTAAACTTGCAACATTATCCTCTTAAATTCCTTAAATCTTTTCCTCAGTTTTTACTATCAAGAGCTACTCTTTCCCACTAACTGTCCAAACAAAAAGCTAAAGGTTGATGTTCCTGTTCTTTCAGTGAAATCCTTGTTCCTACTCCTTCATGACTAGAGCAGAACAGATTACTCGAAATGCTTCCTTCACAAAAGAGAATTTTCAGTCTTGGTATGTGCATCAAACACTTCGTAATCGCCAAGCACAACAAACCTTCAGATGATGTGAGGGCTTAACAGACTGGAGAGATTTTTCACAAATAAACAAAGAAAAGCACTTCGGTCTCATGAGCATTGACTGCAAACAGATAAAGAAACTACACTTTCACTTGCTGCTTTCAGGTATCATATGATCCTTTACCATCAATTCTAAGCTCATTCATGTCTCCTCTAACCCTTCAACAACTATGAGAGGGAGATTATAACTTCTCTACAATGCCATCACTAAAGCAGCCCCTATACAAAGAAAGGTATTCATTCCTAAACCAGCAAACAACAATTCCCTTTCTTCAGTCTTTCGCCGTATATTCTCTTTATTCTTTTCCTCTTATAGGTTGCTCTCTTTAGTAGTCTAGGGATTTCAATCTTTTGAGATAAGCTTAATTGCTGATTTTGAAATTACAGCAGCACTTGTTTCTTTACACAAAAGCCCAGATTCAATGCCTATTAAAATTTCAATGTTCAGTTATAGCTTCTTTAAACAGGAAAATATGATTTTTTTTAAAATTTATTTATTCAAAAATTGGGGGGAGGGGAAGGGGAAATGGGAAGAAGGTCACAATGTTGGGAATCGAACCCTCATCAACAAGGTAGGAGTTCAAGTAACCAACCAACTGAACTACTAAGATTCCCCAACAGGAAAATATGAATACTGGAGAGTTGTTTCTCATATTCTTCAAGCCACCACTTTGCTTGCCTACTAGACTAGTAACACAACCACATAACCCCAAGAATGTGCCTCCAGCACATAAATTACAGCAGATGGCAAGAAACAAGTGTTAAACATGCTTTTCACTTTATTACTTGGGGGAGATCAAGAAAAAATTAAAATAGAAAAACCACCTGCTAGAGAGTTTGACAAGTACCAATAAAAAGAACAGGGATTACTTCTAATTTGGGGTAAAAGCGACATGTAAACTAAAAGAGTTACTTTCTGTTGAAATGACTCACCATCACTATCAGCTGAAACAAAGAATACAATACTTACAAATCTGCTTTGCCACCTAGTTTTCTAAGGAATATGGTATGAGTCTTGTCAACGTGGAATTACGGATGATACTAAGGTAAAACGTTATAACCTCACGTGTACATGTAGCTAACCAAATGATACAGCAATCTAGCAACCAAAGTTATGAATACAAATACAGCATCAAAAGCAACAATTAGAGGCCTACCTCTGATACAAATAATTAAACACGCTTGGATACCATTCTTTCTTGATAACAGGGATGCCCAAATTCACCAATAAACCCCAAATTCATTTCACATGATGGCATAACACGCGTCCACATTGTTCTTGATTGATCAACATCATGTCCAAAATGGATCAACAAGAATCTGATTTCAGGTATTTGTCACGGTCGTATCAAATCTTTGCACATTGTTCCTTGATTGATCAACTTGACATCCAACCAAATACACAATTCATTTCATTGATGACCATTGCAAGCTGTAGTTGGACAGCTAAAATATATACAACAACAACTAAGCTCAATCTCAAACTAGTTCGGGGTGGATTCTAACTTTACTCTGACCATAGACCAACTTCCCATTGATGACCATTGCAAACAGCTCAAAAATATACTACAACAAATCTGCTCAATCTCAAAGTAGCTCAGGTCGGCTCGTAGTTTCACTCGAATCGTCAATTGATTGCAACCCTCTTCTCTGTTAGGACATGAAACAGGCAACGTAAGCTCATACAAAGCTCACAGCTCCACACGATCACAAACTTAAAACAGCACCGGAAAACTGAGAACTTTGCCACACTTCAATCCCCTCAGCATCTTCTCTAGAAACAAACAACCTATCTCCAGCTCCCTCAATCTTCTTTATGATCCCTCTTCCGGCATCCTCCACTTTATCCATATAATTCCTCCTATACAATCCTTCATGCAACACCCTTTCCCTCTCAACATCACTTCTATTCTCCACCATTCTCGACCATACTTCCAGCCCTCCTTCTCTTCCCACAAACACCTGCTGTCTATAACAGTGAATCAAGCTACTAGTTCCACCACCTGAATTCCTCATGCATGGATTTTTCTCTTCCAGATAAACCCATGGATCTTCACTTAATTTACGTAGGTCTGCCACAGCCAAATCACCTGATTTTGAACATATCTTGAACATAGTCAAATCCTCCCTGTCAAAGTCAACGTCAGCAAACGAGTCCCCGAACCGACTGCTCCGACCTGAACCCGGCTCATTCGTCTCCCAGACAACGTCTCCGGACCTGGAGTCCCACAACCGCACATAACCGGCATACCCAAAAGCTCCGGCAGTAACTGAAACACCGACTAGCGCATTAATCTCCGGCAAAAATGTTAACTTTCCAACAACAGTTGACTTTGCCGAATTACCAGATTGTCTTCCCAACTCCGAAACCGCTTTCATCGTAGACTTATCAATACTCAGAACACAATTTTCTCTATGTTGACACTCGAAGGCAGCAAAAACAGAGTCCGGCGAGTCAACAACAGCGTGTACTCGGGCCTTGTAGATTCTCGGGTCAGACGGGTCGGTCCATTCCACAGAGCCAACTCTACGTCCATTAGCCAAGTTGTAAAAATGGAGCCCGGATTCGAATTCAGAAGCAACACCAGCCAAATCGGGTCCAACCTTCCTAACGGAGCTGATGTAATCAAGGTGTGTCCTAATAGTTTCGGTATGTGTCAAACTCCAATCATAAACAGAAACCTGCCCGCCGTGAGCAACCCAAACGGAGCCATCAGAGTCTACAGCATTGAAGTCCGTTACAACGCCATCAGAGGTAGGACGAATGGTTGAGAAAAGTGACGCGTCGATTCCACTGAGTCGACTCGGGGCGAGTGCAGATCTGAGTTGTGATTCAATTCCGTAATAAACAGCTTCATCGATAAGCTCTTGATTAGAGAAACGTTTTGCTGTTGAAGGGAGACGATTAGACCGGAGAAGAGCTAAAAGAGCCGAGAAGATTTCTGGGTCCCGGTCGATGAAAACAGGCTCGTCGGAATTCCGATTCGTTAAGACGGATAAAAGAGAATCTGGTCCACCAGAACGAAGTGTTGATACTGTGGTTTCAAAGAGCTTACCGCCGACGTTGAGCTTTACTCGATCACCACCTTGCCCTAGAATGGTACGTCGTCCACCGTCGTCTTCCATTGATCGGAGAATTGAAAAATAGTGATGCCGGCGAAAGGTTGAACTGAGCAAAAAGATTGAGTTGACCAAGTTACCGGAGCGTGCTGTTTTATTTTTGGTGGAAAATAGTAAATAAATCTGAATATGATTTAATTTTTTTTAATTAGGCAGAAATTACTTCAATCGGCAATTGATTAAAAAAGTGTAAATGAGGTATATAACATTTTCTATAATAATATTCTTAAAATATAGTATTAGAGTGTGTATTTCAATATATAACATTTAATATCTCAAGCTATAGCATATTATTATAAATTATAATGTTAATTTGAAATAATTAAAAAAATTATTTTTTTAAAAATTGAATAAAAAATGGACAAAAATATAAATGGAAAATGACATCCTTTATTACTTAAATTAAATACAATTATTAATTGGTGTTAATTGATTAACAAGTTTTAAGGAAATTTAAAAAATATTCAGATTAGTTAGTTGCGTTAAATCTCTCAAATTAGTTTAAATGAGGATAAATTTTGGTTTAATTCCTTAAAAAGCTTTAACAAATTGACATCAACATACAAGCTGTTTTTTTCTTTCTTTACAATTTTCACTATTCTTTCGGATTTGCAGCAGATATCAGTTCGTTTTTTTTTAGTAATTGAAGAAATTTTGACGTTGGAAAAAAATTGATTTGCTATGATGGAAAACATTGTGTCGATATTAATTAAACATGGTGGAAGGTGAAATTCATCAGGTTGGTTTTAATTATGATTTGTTGGTTTTAATTATGATTTGTTGGGTTTTAACATGGAGAACATTGTGTCGATTTTTTTTTGTTATTTTAAAATTTGATATAGATTATAGATTATTTTTTTTGGGATGAAACAGTGTTTTGGTATATATACAGTATCTGAAAAACAACATGTAAATGTATATGTGTTTGAGTTTTAATAAAATTGTTCGCGTAATACTTAATTTATGAAAAAAATATAAAAAATGAATTTGATGATGCAATGTATTTAGTCACTAGTCAAAAAATAAGTATTTATAATTGTGTATTTAGTCACTAGTCAAAAAATAAGTATTTATAATTATGTGAATCGTTGAAGTATGAAAGTTGTATTAATCGTGTATGAACCTTATATGAAACTTGTATCAATTATGTATGAAGTTTCTTTTTTGTTGAAATTAGAATATATGTTTCTCTTTGGCATATGAAGGTAAATGGTGATATAATTCTGTATGAATTTTGTATAAAAACTGCATTTTTTTGTTTAATTTTTTTTTGTTTAGTTAATTTTTTTTGTGATGATGAAAGCTATATTTATTTTTTTGTTTAGTAATTTTTTTTTTGTATTTGTGTATATGTGTAATATTAATGGAATTGTTGGTGAAAAAATAGTATAAAATTGGTCGAAATATGAAATGCTAGTTTGTTTGTCTGTTTCCGATTTGTAATGCAATGTTAGTATATTTTTTTTTTTACATTTATAGTATGAAATGTGTATTTTTGATATTAAATATTTTTATTTTATTTTTTAATGACATATTTTTTTGGAACTGTTTTTAATGAGCATTAATTTTCCATGTTAGGTAAGGCCATCGACGGTTGATACGTATGTTCTTGTTGAAGGACCAACGAAGTACAAATTTAACTACAAGGTGTGTAGTTGCGGGAGATTTCACCATTATGAAATACCATGTAATCATGTAATTGCAGTGCTTAGATACAAGAAACTGCAAGAAACATATTTCAATTCTGTCTTTTATAGCCTGAAGAATTTCAGAGGTGCATATGTCATCCCTGTTGAACCTATTCCCTGCGAGAGTACGTGAGATATACCCAAATTATATTTCAAAGCCTAAATTGATGGCACCCGATCCAAGTAGATCAGTTAGAAAATCGCATGTTGAACGTTGGAAGGAGTTTGCTGATGTGAAATTCAAAAGGTCAAAGGTTACTTGTAGCAGATGTCGTCAAGTTGGACATAACAGAAAGACATGTTCAAATTATTCTGTTAAAAAATGATTTCATGATTTTTACTTTTTGTTACACAACATGTTTTATTTTATGGAATGAATTTGGTATAATTAATATTTGAGTAGTTGTGATTTCTTAATATTATCCAACTATAAATAATATTGAAACACATTTTGTGTCCATTTTCAAATTTTATTCCCTATAATAATATACAATTAAACAAGAATCGTACATAGTTCATACATTTAAACATATAATTGTACAATAAAACTTTTGTTAAAATAGTTCATACATAGATCATACATAGTTCGTACAAAGTTCATACATATGGATCAAAAAATATATGATAGTTGTCATACTAAAACGATAATAAATAAAAAATGTGATATCATGTTCATACTAGTAGTAATCAGACTTTATACATATTTCATTCAAACAATAATCAGACTTCATACATAATCTATAATGGAAGAAAGATTAATACAAAAAAACCAACAAATTAGAAATGTATGTCATGCCCATACAATTAGTAATCAGACTTCATACAGAAAAGCCAACAAATTAAAAATGTAATGTCATGCCCATACAATTAATAATCAGACTTCATACAAAAAAGCCAACAAATTAGAAATGTAATATCATGCCCATACAATTAGTAATCAGACTTCATACATACATCAATTTATATATAAAATGAAACATCATTCAAACACTGGTAATATGTATTAATATCGTATGAATTCTGTGTCGATTGATGTATTAGTTTATATGACTTGTGTATAAATGTTGTATGAATTGATATATACATTGATGTATTACTGTTGTATGATTTGTGTATGAAAGTACCTTAGAATTTCATTTCATGATTTGTGTATGAATTGATTTGGTTGTCCATTTATATGACAGTGTTTGAATGATGTTTGAATTGATACATAACTTGATGTATGTATGAAGTCTGATTAGTAATTGTATGGGCATGACATTACATTTCTATTTTGTTGGCCTTTTTGTATGAATCTTTCTTCAATTATTGATTATGTATGAAGTCTGATTACTGTCTGGATGAAATATGTATGAAGTCTGACTACTACTAGTATGAACATGATATCACACTTTTGATTTATTATCGTTTTAGTATGACAATTATCATATATTTTTTGATCCATATGTATGAACTTTGTACGAACTATGTATGATCTATGTATAAACTATGTATGAACTATTTCAAGAAGAGTTTTATTGTACAATTATATGTTTAAAAAGTTGTTTAATATATATGCTTTTTGTATGAACTATGTATGATTCTTGTTTAACTATATATTAATATAGGAAAAAAATTTGAAAACGGACACAAAATGTGTTTCAATATTATTTATAGTTGGACAATAATAAAAAACCACAATTACTCAAATATTAATTATACCAAATTCATTCCATAAAACAAAACATGTTGTGTAACAAAATGTAAAAATCATGAAATCATTTTTCAACAGAATAATTTGAACATGTCTTCCTGTTATGTCCAACTTGACGACATCTACTACAAGTAACCTTTGACCTTTTGAATTTCACATCAGCAAATTCCTTTCAGCGTTCAACATGCGATTTTCTAACTGATCTACTTGGATTGGAAGCCATCAATTTAAGCTTTGAAATATAACTGGGTATATTCCACGTACTCTCGCAGGGGATAGATGACATATGCATCTCTGAAATTCTTCAGGCTATAAAAAGCAGAACATAAATATGTTTCATGAAAGTATCCTATATCTAAGAACTGCAATTACATGAATGGTGAAATCTCCCGCAACTACACACCTTGTGTTTAAATTTACTATGTACTTCTTTGAATCCCTCAACAACAACATACATATCAACCGTCGTGCTATCACCTAAAATGGAAAATCAATGCTCATTAAAAAACAGTTCCAAAAAATATGTCATTTAAAAATAAAATAAAAATCTTTAATATCAAAATAATGCACATTTCATATTATAAATGTCAAAAAAAATAATACAAACATTGCGTTACAAATCAGAAACAGACAAACAAACTAGCATTTCATATTTCATACAATATTAATATGCAATTCAGACAACTAACATCATGTTGACCAATTTTATACGATTTTTTCACCAACAATTCTTTTAGTATTACACATATCCACAAATAACAAAAAAAAAACAAATATCATACAATCTTATAAGACTCTTAATACAATGAATTAACAGAGATTACTAAAAAAATCAGAAAACTATAATAAATACCAACATGACGGATCCCATCTGCCACCATATTTAATTAATATTGATAAGTTATTGTCCATCAAAATAAATCACAATTTTTTCACATAAAGAAAAACTCAGTCAAGAAAAAAAGGGAGTAAAAATTCTGCAAAAAGAAGAGTGAGAAACGTGATAGAGAGGAAAAAAGGAAAAAATCATGTTTTAATTTGATTTAAATTAATTTGAGCATTTTAAGGAAACTGAATAATTTAAATCTTTTTTGAATTCCTTAATATATGCTAATGTGTTAATTATCCATTATTAATTGAAATTAACTCAAATCCCACAATTGGTGCTACTTACCAATTAATGGATAAACGTGTTTTACCTTTTTTTTTTATTTAAAAATAAAATAAAATTTAACTGTAAAAATAAAAATAAATATTTAAACATATTAATTAATATTTAAATAATTACTTATAATTTATTTTTAATTAAATATATTTTAATTGATATGCTATAACTCGATAATAATCTGCTATAAGTGATTTATTTTTAAAAAGTATGTTTATAACTCGATATATGTAGCCTTAAATGTGTATGAGGTGTTATTTTTATTTTAAAAAATAAGGGAAAAAGGACACATATATTTCCGAATTATCATAAATGGTATGCAAATATCATTCGTCATACTTTAGATACGTTAGTGCCCCTATCGTCCAAAATCTAGAGCATATATACCCTTTATACTAACGGACATACATGTGTCATAATCTTATCCACCGATTCGACATTTGATCGATGCATAAGATTGAGTCACGTGTTCCTATTTAGTATCTTATTAGCGTGAAGGGCATATATGCTCTAGTTTTGGACGGCAGGGGCAACAATATCTCTAAAGTATGACGAAGGGTATCTACATATCATTTGTAATAGTTCGGAGTTATATTTATCCTTTTTCTCAAAAAAAAAATAAT